GAAAAGTCCTAGCCAGCTCTGTACCGATCAGTGCATAGAAACAGGGTCAGGCTCAGCCAAAGAAGAAACAATTGCCCCTCCATAAGAAGGGAGCAGAATAACCCAGAAAAAGGCAGCGCCCAATAGCAGGGATCTGAGTCAACTCCAGAGCACACCTCCTGCTGCTGAAGGAGCTGTTAAGTCAAGGTAAGGACCGAGATGGTGATTTCCAGCCCCTTACTGTACTGTCCCCACAGGGGACTAGAGAAGGAGGTACTGCAAAGAGGGGCAGGTGACCTGCAGTGGTGAGGTCCTCTCCAAGTTGGTTTAGAGAGAGAAGACACCCAAACCTGAACCGGAATTGGGTGGGGTAGCAACCAAAAGGAGGAGGAGCTGGGGCAGCCCGTGTGGTGAACTAAGAAGCCTGCAGCTAAATCACCAAGCGTTGTTTTTGTTTTTGTTGTTTTTTGCTTTTTATTTTTGTGGTACCAGGGATTGAACTCAGGACACTGTGCTTGCCAGGCAAGCATTTATTCTACCGAGTTTTTTTTCTTTTTTTTTTCTTTTTTTTTTTTTGGCAGAACCAGGGATTGAACACAGACCCTTGCACTTGAAACTGAGGATTGAACTCCGACCAAGTGTGGTCCCACCAAGTCCTAATAAATGTGAGCTGAATTAAATCCAGAGAACAATGCTGAACAACAATACTGCCTTAGAGTCTTTTGCTCATATGTTGAACACAGTAAAGAAGTTGTACAATGAATGAGAGCTCAAATTCATCCGTGTCACTCAGTTTGCAACTTTATTTCACCAAACTCATTATTTCCATCAGCACAATGAGATTAATAGCCATCAGATTAGTAATATTCTATCACTGTGCCTTAATAAGTAAAGCTAGGGAACTCCATTTTTTTTTTAATAGAGGTTTTTTTTAGCTCACAGTTCTGTTGGTTCAAGAGCTTCACATGGCTCTGGTGAAGGACCCCAAATGGTGGGGTCAGACATGGGAAGGAGAGAGATCCCACAGCCCGACTGGAAGCCAAAGCATGACTCAGGTCAGGCTGCCAGAACAACTCACTCTCAGAATTGGCTCAGGATTCCTCGCAGCTACCTTAACTCCTCCCTGGGACAGGCCTTGAAGACCTAAAGGCCGCCTGCTGCAATGTCCTTTCCATCTCACCTCCCATGGGCACACCGGGGATCACGCTCTCAACACGCTCTTTGGTACTTTTTGTTGGCCAAAGCGCACCAAGCGGCCTCAGCAGTCAGGAAGCCTACTTTCAGGAGTCAATACAGCAATTATATAAGCATTTGGTAACCGCTCAAAGATGTTTAAAATTCTATTAGTAAAAAAAAAATGAGAAGAAAAATAAACATTTTCTAGCCTCCACTTTATGGTTTACTGGCTTCTTAGCCTTAATGCCATTAACCCTTAGCCAACAACCTACCATCTTGTCTCAGGGTCCTAATCAGGAATGCACCAGCTGCTTCCTCCACACCTAGAGACTCCCCACACCCCACTCCCTCCTCCCAACCCCTCCCCGCTCCTGTGGACTCTCATAGGCATCCTCAAGCCCCCAGATTCCCACCCAGATCCTTCCTCCTGCACACCATAAGGAGCGGAACTTCATTCCCAGCTTCCTCACCTTCAGCAAGTTTCTTCTAGCAGTTCCTCATAGCAAAGCGTGGCATTCCAAAGCCATATTCCAGGAAAAGTCTCCACCCAGCAACACATGTACTCAGCTCTGAGGGCCCAACGACTGCCCAGGGTCAAAGTCTTAGGTTCACTTCTCTGGTTACTAAGTGTTACTATGACTCCTACATTATCACCAAATACTTAATCCCCACAGGGATGGTTCCAGAGCCTCGGCCCAGCCTGACTCTTGAGAATCACACATCTCTGAAGAACCAGTTGAAAGTCCCTAGACAGTCCATGAGGAAAATGTAAACCTTACTTAGCAAAGAAAAAGAGGAAAGGCCCCCTTCTGCTCCACTTCCCCAGCGTTCTTCAAGCTGCCCATTCGCAACACAACCTGGCTGAGCACACAATGTTCAGCTGTTATCCCAGCTCCCCAGTTTCTCAGGAAGCTGAGGCCGAGAGACTGCAAGTTCAAGCACAACCTGTACAGAGTAGTAAGATTCAGGCTAAAAGCAAGAAAAAATAAAGAGCTGGGGGAGGATCTTAGTGCATGGGGGCACCAGCCTGGAAAATACATGACCTTCTTCCCAGTATGTGTGTATACTACTGGTTGGCTAGCAGGTCTTTCTCTCGCCTCTTCTTGCACTTGGGCAACCCCTACCCAGTCCTAGAGTTCCAGTGCCTAAGGCACAGGGTCTTCAATGGCTTCCCTGAGGCTGTTCACCCCAGTGCAGAGGCAGACACATACCCTGCAGCAGCACTGCATACACTGACCCCTCCAAAAGCGTGCACCAGGGAGCACTCCCCTCTTTATCTCTGTACTCCCAGGGCCCACGCAGCCAGCTCAAGAATGTGTGTGCTTAGCGCACTGCTCCTGTTTGTCAAACAGTGACATCCCCAACCTCTGGTTTCACCAGTCAGTTTCTATCTTTTTATCTGTTCAACGCAGTGTACTCCTGGCATAAGAGGACTTCCCAGTTCTCACAAGCTGCACTGTCCTGGGCCAAGACCCCTCACAATTCCCACACCTTCGGCCATCAATGGAAAGCAAATCCAACCTGAATCCTCCCCTTTCCCAACTCACCCACTCCAGTTACACAGTGGGTAAAGCCGCGCACTACCATGAAGAGGCAAAGCTGGGTTTGGAATGTCGAGTACATCCTTAGTGAGCCTTGTAACCCCATGCAAGAGACAGCAGCACCACCAGGTTTAGGTCTCAGAGGATATCTGAGATTCAGATGGCATAGCTGATGGAAAAGTGGTTTATAAAGTACCATAGTGCATCCAAAAGGGCGTGATTAACAGATTTTATCCAATTTAAACCACTGACTATAAGATGTGTCATTACCAATTTAGAATGAAAAATAACTGTTCAAGGATGACACATCTGTTATTATAAGACAACCGGATTTCAGTGATATTAAAACATGAAAAAAAAAAAAAGTGTTTCAAGGCAGATTTAATACAATCGATTCCTCTCAACACAAACATGAACCTGCTATTAGAATCTCCCTATTTGCCAGTGATGTATAACACTGAGTGACACGTGTCACGTAAATACAAACCATCCAGGGATGATATTCTTAGGCCAAACCATCACCTCTTGCTGGAACTGGGCAGAACTGGGCAACAGGAAGCTTCCCAATGCCAAACCTCTTCTCCACAGCAGGTCCCAGCCTGCTCAAAGCCCATAAGGAGCATTTTAAATTATAACCAAACTCCCTAGCCTGGCATTTTTAAAGACCCTTATAATCAAGTCTCGTCTCCCACCTGGATGGCCTAGGAATGTCTACCCACCTCTGAGCAGTGACATCCAAGAATGTGTGCCAGCCAGTCTCCAGAGCCAACCCTCGAGGCTCGAGGTGTTCACAGGGAGCCTGGTCCTAGGGGCGCTCAGCTAATCCCACCTCTAAAGGTTTTGGTGGTAAGAGTTGGGGCTATCTTACAAAGATCAACTGCAGGAGACACCACCTCTTTAACTGCCCTTGACACGGGCAAAAAGAGAATCCTCATCACTGGATGGTCTGCACCACCAGATCAGCCCACCATTGTCTGCTGTAGGCTTTGGGGCTGGCACCAGCTTACGAGCACCTCTTTGGTTTCCTGGTCCGTAAGCATGAGGGCAGGTAAGGGTGAGCCAGTGAGCGCTTTCTAAACATGTCTCTATCCGCCTTCCCTCCTTTCCTTCAAAGGCTTCCTGAAAATGCACATTGGCAGGGAAGAGGTAAACCTTTAAGTCACTAACACCTTTGTGGGAAGACTCTTATTGGAAAGGAAAGAATTTTGGCAAAACAGGAGGTGGCCCAAAGAGAAAGAAGAATGAAAAAGGAGACTAGTTTGCTGTAAGAAAAGCCACTCAAAGAGGACCCTGAGACTTTACTACTATGTTGGGGGGGGGGGCTGAAGAAAAGGAAGCTAGAGAGATTTCTCAGCTTAGGACTCTGGGGTCCCACAGACATGTCCTGCCCAAGTACCTAGGCACAAATCCACTGATTAGCTCACCGCATGTTATAACACCCTGACCCCAAACCCCAGGCCCAACACAGCGCCGTTTAACTTTCATCTTCACTCCCCACCCATCTTTTAGCTGGGTGGGCAGTGAAGGTGACTCTCCACAGCACTGGCTGGCTTCAGGAAACGCCCATCCTTCCAAAGCCCTGACCAAGCACAGCCCTGTGCAAGAGTCATTTCTGGTCCCTCTCCGGGGACCAAAATTTCAAATTCTTTCCCCAGAACCGCCTGTGTAAAACTTTATCAGTGCATTCCTCCCCCACCCTAGCACTAGTACTTCCTACCTCGCTCCTCTGAGCGCTGTCTCAGGGAAGGGTCTGGGCCCTATCATATGGATCACAATGCCTGTCACATGGTGGGGACCTGACAAATGCTAGGTCAGGGAACTAGGAGTCCTAGCCCATCTAGTGTCACTGAGGCCGGGCCTCCCTTGAATGATTTCGGGAAGACCGTCCTTCTCTCTGAGCCTCAGTTGCCCTGGCAGTAGAATGGGAGGACATGAATGACTGTCTCTAGGCCCTATCCACCGGGTGACAACTGAGATTCCGCGAAAGCTCCTAGAGGCTAGGCGTGGCCCCGCCCCCTGGACACCCAGAAAACCCGGGTCGGGGGCGCAGGGAAACTCTCCAACCCGCCCCGGCCCCAGCGGTGAATGCTTCCCCCGGGAACCCCGGCCCCTCCCCCACGGCGTGCACCCCGTGATTGGGCTGCGGCCGGTACTTCCGCCCCGCGGGCCCGGCGCCCAGGCAGGGCGCTCGGCACCCCGCGCTCCTGCCGCCCCAGAGACGCTCGCGCCCGCCCGGGTAGGACCCGGGTTCCCGAGGCGCCCGCGGGCGGAGGTGGGGGGAGGAAGGAGGATTTGCAACAATACCTCGGTGTGGAGGCGGACGGACGGGGCAGCGGCGGCTGCGGCGGCGGCGGGAGGCGGAGGCAGGGCGGAGGAGGTGCCCGGGCACTCCCCCTCGCATTGTCCCCGACCCGACAGGCCCGGCCCGCGGAGCACCCCGCCCGCCCCCTGCGCCCCAGGCCGGGCCCCGGCCCCGGCCCCGCGGAGCAGCCAGCCCTTACCTTGCAGTGCCTGTGTCTGCCCGCTCGCTAAAGCTACTTATCCCGGGAAAGCTCTTGTGGGGCCCGGGAGCGAACCCACAGACAAAAAGTGAAACTTCGGTAGGGCTGGAGCGGCCGCTGGTTGGTGCCTTCCCCTCCTTCCTCCCCACCCCCTCCCCGGTCTCCCGTGCGGTGCCCTGAGCGCTGGAGGCTGACGTCAGGGGCCTGAATTCCTGACTTTGCTTGCACGCATTTGTCCATGTAAGGTATGGGAAGGCGTGTGCCCGCGGGGCGCCGCGGCTCCGGGGCGGGGGCGGGGAGGGGGCGCCGGGGGCAGCTGCTGGGCCGCGCTGGGGACGGGCGCGCCGGGCCGGCCAGCGAGCGGGGAAGGGGGGCGAAAGGGGAGGTGTAGGGCTCTGCCAACCCTGGAGGAAGAGGAAGGGGACGGGGAGGAAAGCGGCCGATTCGAGGGGCTGCGGGAGAACCGAGGAAGGCGCCAAATTAGAAGGCTGGGCGGGGCGGAAGCGGGCCGGCTCGGAACCCCTGCTCCGCGCCAGCCTCCTGCGAGCCCCGCCCCAGGTCTACTGCATGGCTCGGAACTTGCAGGAGGTTAGAACGGGCGCACGCCGCCGAGGTCTGCCCGTCCACCTCTCACACGTGGGGACACCGAGGTGCAGAGAGAGGAGTCTCGGACCCAGGCACATGCTCCATAGAGCCAGAGCAGGACAGGGTCCTGTGTCCCTGCCCCAGCCAGAAACCAGCTCGGGGGTCAGCTGACCACGCGGACCACCCAGATTCCATCCTTCCGTGGGCCCCACTGCCAGCTCCTGGAAGTGAGTGGTGAGAAGTGCTGAGAAGCCCTGACAGCTGTGCAGGGTCACTTTATGTGTCAGTGAACCTCTGGAGTTCAACGTCCATTCCCCAGGTGCCCAGAAAACTTGCTCTGTGTTTTTGTAATTAAAAAAAAAAGTCTGCGAACTGGGTGAACTGGTTTGAATAAAGACAAGTCCGTTCTTGGAAAGTTTGAGTCTCTGTTTCTCTTCAGACATTCGTGAATGTGAGCAGGAGTGAGAACCACCATGCATGCTGTGGAGGGGTGTCAGGGACTCCGTTTCCTGTGCTTCTATCCAGCAGAATAATCTTCCCCTCGCCACACCAAAAAAGTACCTTTTCATCCTTGTATTCCATCTTCCAGGAACTGGATTGGAGTCGTTGTAGAAGTCCTTTTACATTCAAAGCAAAAACTTGCAGCGCAACAAAATAACAGTGTTTTATTTACTTTTCTCTGGATGCTGAGACAAAATACTCAATGCCCAAATTAAGGAAGGAAAGGTTTACTTAGCTCATAGTTTGTGGAGGTTTCAGTCCATAATTAGCTGACTCCAAGGCGGGGGGCATGGCATGGGCAACAGCGCATAGCAGTGGAAAACGGCAAAATAAGAGCTGGAAGAGAAAAGACTCTCCCTTCCCTATATTGATTGCAGTCTCTCCATCCTAGGGTGGGTGTAGCACTCATGCCCGCACCCAGCATTGGTCCAAGAATCAATAACAAACCCTAGAAGCCAGCCATGGTGGCATGAGGCTTTGGGGGGCAATCCAGGCACAAACGGTAATACCGAGGGAGCGTGAGAGCTCCAACCCAGGTCAGCTCACCAAACAAGCCCACGCTCTTCCCTGACCACCAGCAGGACTCCCCCCCAGTCAGACCTGTTGAGGGTGGATTTGGGTTAAATTCTTTTGATCAAGAATTAAGAAAATAAACATAAAAACCCAAAGCAACTGTAGGGCAAAAATACAATAGTGGTAACTCTGTCTGAGACTGTATAGTAGGAAAAAAAAAAAAAAAAGTAACACAATTGTAACCTAGCATTAGATTTGGTTTAAAAAAAATTGCAAGACTTTTTTTCTTAACCAACTCCAATAGTTTTGTAAAGACAAAATAAAATGAATTTCTGTACTGGGAAAAAAAAGCACCTCCTATGTAGTTTTTAACCCAGACGTTTCTGGATTCGAATTACTTCTTTGTTCTCCACTTTCTCATCAACATACAGAAATAAGCATACAGCAACAGAGATACGAGCAGAGCATCCCCCCATGCCACTTAATATTGAAATCTATTTCTCTTCACAAGTAACATGGTTTAAACTGAGAAATATGCACTCTGAAAGGGATCTTGCCCAGAGATTTTGGAAAGATCAGATCATATCATGACTCAGTTTCATTCACTTTAAACATTTCAGCAGACCCACATCCTGAGCGCTAATATTTAACATGAAAATATCCCAGTATCATTCATGCTGAGAACAAATTCACTAGATACTTGTCAAATATAACGGCCTTGACCAGAATTTCTTTTTCTTTCTTTTTCAGTAACCCACTTATAAAGAATAATAGGGTTCTAATGAGGATTCATAAAATTTAATAAGGTATAATTGGAATCATTCATTTCCTCCTTCATACACGTTATAAGGGAGCTGTACCAGGCCCAGAAATGCCACTAACTGTGTCACAACTGTTGTCATGGCGTGCTGGAAACCATTATCGGGATTCTCTCAAGAGATTTGTGAGTTGCTCAGGTAGGCCTGGTGTTAGTGTGAGCACTGCAGAAGGTAAGTTTCAACTGGGGATGCACTCCTCGAAAGTGGAAGTGACAAATCATAAACTGCATGCTCAGTGAGCCACACAGTGCAGTTGGCAGTGGTAACCCAGACCAAACGCCTCGGCCTCTTGGGCTGTTCTGCATTCTTCCACACACTGGCTTTCCTCAGTGAACTGGTAGCGCTTGCCATGCACTGGGGTACTGAACTGCTAGGTAAAGTGTGTGAATTCACAGGCACAGTGCTGGAAGGGACACTGGTTTACTACTCTAGAGAACAAAGGAGCTCTAGGGGAGGTGGTTCTGTGAATGGTGGTGCATAGAAAACTGGGAGCAGCAATTTCATTGATCCAGTGACATCAGGAAGATTTGAAGGCCAGGCTACAAGCCCTCCTTCACTCAGTCCTCACGCATCTCTGGAGATAGGCATCATCTGTCTACTTATTTCCTGAGTCAGGAAACAAAAGCCAGGAGAACATTGAGTGACTTACTCAAAACTTAGTACTTGGGTAGCCTGAGATTTTGCCCTGAGCCCAGGCAGCCTGGCTCCTGGGTGTTCCTTGGTGTGAGTGACCATCTGATCTCAGTTTCAACACTTCATTATAGGAAATTCATGATCTCTAAACTGGCCCAGAGCAAATACATACAGAGGCTCCTCAATCCACAGTAAGGCGAAGAAAGTCTTAGAGATGGATGATAGAGACCAGTCTGACATGGCCTCTCCCCAGAGCATAACCCATTATACCAGAGTCAATATTGCTTGAAGGGCCCTTCATGACTTGGCAGCAACTTGACCCTTCACATTCACTTCTGCCAGGCCATCCAAGGTTCCCACCCTCCAGCCAGCTGAAACTGTGGTCATCCTCCAACTACAGCTTATTTATGTACTTACTATATTCAGTACTGGGTATTGAACCCAGGGCCTTAGCACGAGCTACAACCCCATCCATCCTTTTGTAATTTTTTGTTTGTTTGTTTAATTTTGAAACAGAATCTCGCTAAGTTGCTAAATTGTCCAATCTGAATTGGACTTTCTGCTTTGCCTCAGCCTCCCAGGGTGCTAGGATCACTGGAATGTTGCCACCGTGCTTTTACTTCCAAAAACTTCTCATCCGGGGCCCGGGGAGATAGCTCAGTAGAATAAGCGCTGCTTGGCAAGCGCAGGGTCCTGAGATCAATCTCTGGCACTGCAAAACGAGAGAGAGAGAGAGAGAGAGAGAGAGAGAGAGAGAGAGAGAGAGAGAATGCAGAAACTTCTCATTGGCTCTATGCTTATTTGCTTTTGCCAGGGTTCCTCCCTTGCAGGAGCCTCGTCTCTGTTCACCTGGCAGCTCGTATTCAACCTCTTCAGGCACCTCTTAACTCTCCTCCAACAGCTCTTCCTATGCCACCTCAGCGGACTCCTTGTTCTTACACAGTGATCTTGTCCATGTCCTGGGGTTCTGTAATTAATGGGCCAAACCTACTTCCTTATCCAGTTTGCCACACTCTACTCTCCTGCCTCACCTGGAGGGCTGCCTTAAGCGCTTCTGAGGGCAGGGCCCCCAGTGGTCCAGGGATCTTCCACTCAATACAGCCATCCCAAAGACCAAACCTTCAGCCCATGGGCAAGTAACAGTTCCCAAGGCCTTGCATGTGGATAGGATGGCTCAGACCTGACATCACCCTGAAGAGCAGGAGATATAAGAAAGGACAGTCTACCTATGTCACTGTGTTTTCTGCAGAGGTCCATTCACCCTGCAGAGTCTATTCTTTTTTCTACCCTTAATAAATGTAAAACTTTGCTGCCATTTGCACCACCTTGACCAATTATTGCTCAGGACAGAATGTAGAAGCCACCCCTAGAATGGGATTCTAGCACCCCAAAACTCAGTAACACAGGAAACCTTGGTAGTTCTTGCAAGGGAGTCTTTATAAAAGGAACAAGACTGGTCTGTTCTCTCTCACTATGTCTCCCTCCCTCTCCTTCCGTGTTCCCACCATGACATCTGTGGTCCTCGCCAGAGGCCAAACCAATGTCATTGCATGCGCTATCTTAAACTGTGAGCCTTCAAAACTATGAACTAAAGAAGCCTCGTTGCATCACAAGTGTCTCGGTTACTCTTTTTGCTGGGACAAATACCTGACACTCAAAATGAGGGCAGGATAGGTTTACTTAGCTCACAGTTACTAGAGGTTTCAGTCTATGTTTGTCTGGCTCCAAGGCAGAGTGACACAGGGTAAAGAGCATCCATTCATGGTGGCAGCAAAAAGCAGAGAGCAAAAGGGAGAGTAGCAGCAACAATGGCAACAGAGAGCAAGTCTGTCTCCCTTAAGGTGCACCCAGGCTGGGTGTAGTACTCACACCCATAATCCCAATAGCACTCACATCCATAATCCCAGTGCATCATGAGTTAGTCGCCAAGTCTAGAAGTCCTCCCCAAGACTGCATGAGGCTTTGGGGGAACAACAAGACACAAACCATAACAACAAGTAACCTGCCTGAGGTATTTATTATAGTACTGGAAAGCTAACTAATACAGTCCACCACTCTTTAGTAACAAGAACTAACACATAGGGCAGTTTTAATCTTTGATCTGTCCTCTTCTGTAATTGTGTATTGGTCGCTACCCAAGACCACAGTACCAGTGTGTGACATAAACCAGCCTCTGAAGGATGTGGACTCAAGCCGAGCCAGGTGGCAACAGCTTTTGAACAGAGGTGAAACTTAATTTGGTGAACCATCAGAGGAGGACTTTTTGTAAATGCAGCATTAAAGAATGGAAAAACTTTACAAAAATTTATTTACTCTCAGCTCTTCACACCTCAGGGGACAGTGTGTGGGGGAAAAGACTACATCGTAGACTTTCTAAATGATTCTTTTCTTCCTTTATTGGCACTAGGTCTTTCCTTGAGGAATAAATTTATTATAACCTCTTTTCTTTCTTCTTTCTTTCCCTTATTTCCTTCCTTCCTTTGTTCCCTTTTATCTTTCGTTTCACTCCTCCTTCTCCTTCTTTTTCTTAGTCAGGACCTCACTAATTTGCCCAAGCTGGCCTTGAACTCATGATCCTTCCTTCCCCTCAGCCTCCAGAGTAGGTTAGATAATAGAAATACACCACTCTTCTGGGCTGCAGCCTACTTGCTTCATGAATTCAGAAGAATCAAATCAATGTGAACAGATGATGGCTTCTATATCTCCCTTTTGGGGGGGGGGGCAGAACCAGGGATTGACTCAGGCCCTTGTGCTTGCCCGGGAAGCACTTATTCCACTGAGCCATCTCCCCGGCCTATATCTCCCATTGTTTGCTGAAGTTTTATCCAGTTTTTAGGGAATGGCTATAGAAATACTGGTCTGAATTTCTCCACTATATTGGATCAAATTATTCAAATGTATTTTGCCTTATCCCAACTCAGCCCTATGCGCCAAACTGCTGTGT